ATCGGATATCCGCTTCCCAAAATTTTAATATTTGTGATTTGCTTCGATTTTAACGGATATTGAATTTTAGTATTTGCTTTGATTCGAAAATTTACGGATATCCGGAATTTTCGGATCGAATCGAAACGAATAACGAATCGAATCAAATATAACGGATAAAATGCCCAGCCCTAATTTTAAATATAATTATTTTCATAAAAACATTTCTATATAGCGTCGTGTATTAATGAAGGTTAGCTCAAAGATCATTTGCACACAAAACAATCTTCTCTAATGGCTTTTATATGCATACCTATCCCTTGCTTTCTCATCTTACTTTATTTCTTCATCAAGAAACCAAAGACGAGCTTCATTACGACAAACTGGCCTCTTATTGGGATGCTTCCGGGCCTGTTGATGGTGCTCCACCGGATCTATGATTTCACCGTGGAGCTCCTCGAGGACTCAAACTTGACATTTCAATTCAAGGGTCCATGGTTGGCTGGTATGGATTTGTTGGTCACCGTTGATCCAGCTAATATTCACTATATGTTAAGTACAAATTTCTTGAATTACAACAAAGGCCCTGAGCTCAAAGAAATCCTTGATGTTTTTAATGATGTGATATTCAACGTGGACGCCGAGCTTTGGAAGGATCATAGGAAGGCAGTGGAGGGCACACTCAAACATCAAGGGTTTGCCACGCTTTCAGCGAGTGCTACGACAAGTAAACTCAAGAACGGGCTTGTGCCCATTTTTGATCATTTTGCCAAGGAAGGGATGGTCCTGAACTTCCAAGACGTGTTCCGGAGATTCACTTTCGACATATTCATGGTTTTGATAACTGGTTCTGATCCTACAAGTCTCTCTATCGACATGCCGGAGAATGAGTTTGACAAGGCTCTTAATGAGGCTACAGAAGGTGTTTTGTATAGACATCTAAAACCAAGATTCTTGTGGAAACTACAAAGATGGATGAGATTGGGAATAGAGAAGAAAATGGTAGAAGCTAATGACATTTTCTATCGTGTGTGTGCGAAATACATATCAGCTAAGAGAGAGGAGGTAAGATTGCAAGGCATAAGTCATCATTCTAATAACGAAGAATGTGACGACTTGTTGACGTCCTACATAAAGCTAGACACAACCAAGTACGAGATCTTGAACCCTAGTGATGATCGGTTCCTCAAGGATATCATCTTGACTTACATTGTAGCCGGGAGAGATACCATTGCCTCTGCACTCACTTGGTTCTTCTGGCTTCTCTCTGAAAACCCTAAAGTAGTGGCCAAGATTCGCCAAGAAATAGACAAGAATCTGCCAAATTCCAAAATTGGCCAGGAGAATTCATCTTTTGATCCCACTGATAACAACAAGCTGGTGTACTTGCATGCCGCTCTGTATGAATCAATGAGGCTATACCCACCAGTTCCATTCGAACACAAGTCTCCTGTAAAAACAGATGTTCTTCCAAGTGGGCATAAAGTCGATGCGGACTCCAAAATACTTATTCTTATATACGCACTTGGGAGGATGAAAGCTGTATGGGGAGAAGATGCATCTGAATTCAAACCAGAGAGATGGGTTACAAACACAGGTAGCTTAAGGCATGAACCTTCCTACAAGTTTTTAGCGTTTAATGCTGGCCCAAGAAGCTGCCCTGGTAAGCAGGTAGCTATGAAACTGATGAAGACAGTTATTGTGGAGATATTGCAAAACTATGACATTCATGTCATCAAAGGCCAAAAAATAGAGCCACTTCCTGGTCTTATTCTTTGCATGAAGCACGGGCTTAGCGTCACAATTACCAAGCGAGATTCAGATTAGTGCAGTCTATCTCAGTTTAAATCATGTACTATATAAAGCAGTATAAAAAGATAAAGAAGCATATATAGTCTAGTGACAAAAAAAAAAAAAGCATATATAGTCTTTAAAGATTCCTATGTTACCATATATGTATTTTATGACATGTTGAGCCTCTTCGTGATAATATGTATTCATGAAAATGTACTGATAGATGAATGGAATAGGTCCGCTTAATAGTTCTTATATGACCATTGTGTTAATCAACAAACTAGTCAATATATATTAAGGTAGTCGAAGTAAATTGAATTTTTATGAGTTGAAAAGAAGTCAATCAGAAACCAAATGCTTTCGATGAAGGAAATGGGAGACAAGAATTTCAAGGATTGGCTACTCATGTGTCCTGTTTCGCTTCCTAGCATCCATTTTTCATTACAAATTTCGCAACATCTTTTGCAAGGCTCGTTTCCTTCAGCGTTTTTGACAAGCTGCACACTTGTCAAACTCTGATTGTATAAAGTTTTTAATTCACTAAAAAATCGACTAAAATAATAGGGTAAACATATGGTCTGCAAGTTTTTTTTTTTTTTTTAACACAAACGATTATATTAAATCTAAAATGAGTTTAAGCGATTACATCGGAGCTAAACTCAGCGGTAACAAGATAGTAACCGGAGAGATCCTCAACGGTTTGATGAACATCATAAAACAAAACGCTAAAACAAGGGATAACTAACAAGATAGTCTTGCTCGACAATTGGAGAACCGTGGGAAGCAAGTTTTCTTTCTAGAGGAGGGAAAGAAGTTCATATTAAATCTATGGTTTAGACCGGTTTGACATATGTTATATAAGTTGTGTTTCTTATTCCCCTAAAGTATTATTGATAATTTGAGAAGTGCCATCTCAAACTTCTTGTAGAACTCCAAACAAAATAGCATAGGTAGCTATCAGATTGCGTAGGAGTACAAGATTTGTATTCCTAGGTTACCCTATGAAGAGTGGTTTCATATGGTCTCATTCATATTTATAGATAGCATAAGCTCTAATTTTGAAAGATACATTTTCCTCAAAACAAGCTAATATGATGAACTAGAAAAAAATAGATTATCATTCATGATAAGAACTCTATTTTATTTGAAATCTATCAAAAATAAATATCATTGGTTCGCAATTGAAATGAAGAAGAGATTGAAATTTGAGCTTTCACAACGATTCACATAGGCTATAAAGAAGAGTTGAAATTTCTTAAAGAAAGACAAAAGTCTGCAGAAAGCCTCTTATGTATACAGAGATTCACATAGGCTATAAACAACCTCGTGACAAGTTTATCCCACCAACTATAACTGAGTAACCACATCATATAACTAATAGGATCACTTTTTTTTTGTCATCATCATAAGGAAGTCAAAGTAGACCCCAACCAGAGGATTATGTTCAAGTAGCCCAGTGGCAGAGTGGGTCTGGACATATATACTAACCCTAATCCGAGGTGGGCCTACCCACATGGACCATAAAAAATCGAATCTAATACAGGTTGGACTACTTGGATGCAGATTAGCCCGCTTAACATTTTTTTAAACAATGCGGATTAGCCCGCTTAACATTTTTAAAACTGAGAGTTTTGATAGAATATAGAGATTATGACTAACTTGAGACACATATGTTTTCCTAAATATTTTATTATCTATAACAAAAAGATTGCAAGTCATTTAAAAGACAAATGAAGAGGAAAATTGCATTTCACATTTGTACAATATAAATAAAGTTTTATGTTTCTTTTAGCAATTTTATAAAAAAAACTATTATATATAGCATACACAAAGAAGTAAATCTTGTAGTCAATTTCTCAACACTTAAGCATTCACTTCTCTGTATCAGCTGGTATAGTAGGCTTATGGATGATCTTTAGTGTTTTTATCTCAATTCATATATGTTTGTTATTCTCAATTTTGGATACAAGTGTTGGATTATAATAAAAATAATCATATTATATGTAAATGATTCAAATGATAAGAATTTTGTAGTGAATATTTACTTATGCTCTAGTTTTTTTATAATTCTTTTATCATTTTTTGTGTGGAAAATGAACTCTTTTCAATCTAATGTATCATTTATAGAAGAAAAAAAACTCAATAATTTATTCCTTTTTATAAGTCACACTCATTTTAAAAGCCAGTTCAAAAAAAGTCACACTCATTATAAAAAAAAAAATTCATAGTATAGAAACTACATAACATATTTTAAACATCACTAGTGGAGACCCGCAGGTTCCCTAACATGTTTATAGTATAGAACCTACATAACATATTTTAGTCTAAAATGGATTTGGCCAAATCTGGTAGTTCCCTAATCGGTCAGTTTTTATTAAAAAAACAGGTTGTTAGTTGAGAACCTTTGCTACTCTCATGTATTTTATGATGTATGCGATGGGACGATGAACCTCTACCTGATATTATGTATTCGTAAAATGTATTGATAGATGAATGAAACAAGTCCTTAATAGTTCTTATAATGACGTTTAAATTCTATAATCTATTAGTGACATTCCTCTGTGAAAAAACAATATGAAATCGCATCAATATACCAATAGCATCATATTTCAACTAATTGTTCTTTCTGTTAATTCAGAGGGCTACGGTAAAAGAGCGAAACAGCGAACTTTTTAGATGGAAATCATGGAATGAAGTCAACACTCTTGGTATTTCGAATCTGGAAGTGGGATCAATCATGGGTGTGATTGGTAAACATTGGAGTAAAAGAGAGTAAATGAAATAGTGGAAATGAGAGGAAAACTGAAAAGGTGAAAAGAGGCAAAAAGATAAAACTCAGAACAAAATCATCTATACTATAATAAAATTTGGAGTAAAGATAATAAAACTCAGAACAAAATCATCTATACCCTAAATGTTACTCCATAAATAGCATACAGCCACACCCCATGTGTAAAAGACGAAAAAATCTTTGGCAATAATCAACAGAGAAGAGAAGAGTAGGTAAAAATGAAAACGCATTAAATGGTTTAAGAGCAACAGTTCACGGAGACTTTAAAATGTGGTCTTTATATAGTCCTGAAAAATGTAATTGCACGCCACGTGTGTGTGGGGAAGGCAACCTTTATTGACAAAACATCCACATTAAGACCAAATCTGAGAGTTTTAAGATTCTGGATTGGTGAGAGCTTGCTTAGCTGGGGGAAGTGAGAGAAAGAACACAAGAGATGAACGATGTGGTTAGTTTGGGAGTAGGTTCTGTCACCGGAGCTGTGGTCTCTGAGCTCCTAAAACTCGTGATTGAAGAGGCTAAGATGGTTTTGGCGTTCAAATCTGTATACAAGGAGCTTGCATCGACGATGGAAGATGTGCTGCCGACAATCATAGAGATCGAGATGTTGCAAGGTGCTGAAGAACTAAAGAAACTCAAGGATATAATCGATGAAGCTCTTGTCCTAGTTCGCAAGTGTTCAAAAGTCAACCGTTGGAATATACCTTCACAAGCTAAATATGCAAGAAAAATAATAGATATCGACAAGAGGATGCTCAAGTTCTGTCAGATTCAGTTGCAGCTTATTATGCTTCGAAACCAACGGCTATATATGAGACCACCGGTTCAAAATATAAGACCTCCGGTTCAAAATATGAGACCACCGGTTCAATTTTGGTCTGCACCGCCTCGTCAGCCATTTTCCAGCCCAACTGATAGGACGTCTGACATGTCTTCTGACGTGCTGTCCGTGCATAGGGTGAAAGCCCTTGAGAGTCATCTCCAAAGAATCAATAAGAAACTCGACGTTTTGAGTGTTTCTCCGCATGTTTATAAGGATCTTTGTTCTGTCCCAAAGCTTGATAAAGTTTTAGTTGGTTTGGATTTGCCATTGATGGAGATAAAGAAGAAGCTCCTTGATGATGATGATGTGGTTAGTCTCGTGGTCTCTGCTCCACCTGGGTGCGGGAAAACCACATTAGTTACTCAGCTTTGTCATGAACACGAGATTATAGGTATGAAAAAAGATAATTTCATTACTCTTGAAATTTTTATTTATGGTTTCTCATGTAGTTTGTGTTAAAAAAAAAAAGTTTCTCATGTATTTTCCATTAATTTGCAGAAAAGTTCGAGTATATCTTCTTCTGCGTCATGTCAAGTGGCTCTACCTTTAGGACCATCGTACAGAATTTACTCCAGCACAACGGTTACGAAGCATCTACATTTGAGAATGATTCTCAAGCAGTTGATGGTTTAAGAAAGCTGCTTGAAGAACTTGAAGAAGAGGGTCCTATATTGTTGGTGCTGGATGATGTGTCGCCAGGAGCAGAGCCCTTGCTTCAGAAATTTCAGGTTGACATATTGAATTTCAAGATTTTGGTGACTTCTCGGTATGAGTTTCCGAGTTTTGCTCCCACTTATCATTTGAAACCTTTGGGAGATGAAGATTCCAAGACCCCTCTATGAGAAGGCATCACTTCACAACTTATCATTTACGTCCTCTGTTTGCTTTTAATCTATGTTTTAAATGTTTATTTTTGTTGAGTTTAAATGATGTTTCAGATTTCTATGCAAAATTTTAGTGTTGTCTGGTGTTATTGAATAATTATATTTTTATTCTATAAACTTTTATTAGTTAGATTATCTTTAATTAAATCTTCTATTGTCATTTTTTGGTAAAAACTTCTATTGTCATATTTGGGGAACACCAGTTTAATCTTTTCTTTAAATGTGATGGTGAGGATTGTAGATTTTGTCATTTTTTTGGTAAAAGCTTCTATTGTCATTTTTGGGTAAAAAACTTCTATTGTCATGTTTGGAGAACACCTGTTTAATCTTTTTCTTTTGACATGATAGTGGGAGCAGTGGCGGAGCTGGAAAATTTTTTGAGGAGGGTCAGTCTCCAAAATAACATATATTACATGTATTAACTAGCTAAATTTTAACAATTTACCTATTTAAAAAAAATTATACAAGATTTTTTTAACAGAAAATCCACATGGGTCAGTTGACCCATGTGCCGACAGTGTGACTCCACCACTGGGTGAGTGTTGTAGATTTTGAAACGTTGCAATGGATTACCACTCTTAATCGAAGAAATTAGTGTCCAATTTTTACCCAAAAAAAAAATATCAGTGTACAACTTATAACAAAAGCTCGACGAGGGGGATCGCTCCAAGTGAAAAGCAGGTCGGTATAGCTGAAAATTTTAATCATTATTCATGAACCCCGCCTCATTTATTCTGTCACCCACAAGGTGGGTCTGCCTCATTTGATTTGCCACGTGCCCACCTTATTTGATCCGTCGCAGGGCGGTATAGATCAAACAATTTGAAAATTTGAATTACGGGTGCAAATTTTGTGAGCTGATATGTACCGATAGAAATTGAATCATGGATACCCACCAATCCTGTAAATGTTATTGAAATTTTGGTTAAGTAGGACGGATTTAATCTGCGACCCAACACTAGATAGCTGGTTAGCTTGGTTTGATGATAGTTGTCGTCTAGTAAAATTGGTAATCGGATTTAAATCTGCAACTATATCTTATCCTCTTTTATATTTTTGGAATTTATATATTATACTATAAAATTGATGATAGAAAAAATTAACAATTTCTTAAAATATATCCCCATGTTTTAAAAAACGCGGATCAGAGTGTAGTTTATGAATATCTTATAGTTTGAATTTTTAATGATGACGATAATATCGTTTTAGGTTTTTGCATACAGATTAATAATACATTTAATTTTACATATTTTCCAAATAAAAATACAATTAACTATATATCTAATCACATTTCAACCAATAAAAAAAATAAAAAAGTATATAATTTAATAAATTTTACAACGAAACTATAAAACAACATTTATTTTGAAACGAAATATTTTCTATACTATTATATTTAAACTAAAACGGAGAAAATATAATAATATCTTCTCTTATTTTTATTCTGTTTTTACTCAAATCTCTAGCCTCCACATATCTTTGCCAACTAAAAGATACTTCCTTCTCTTCTTTCCCTTAATTTCATCATTGTTTCCTTCTCTGTTTTCCTCATCTTATCTCCATCCTTTCCTCTCTTTCCTTCTGTTTCTTTTAGATTTGTGATTTTTGTTTTTAAATCACCACCGATCAACTCCTCAAACCTTTATCACCATCACCATTGCAACTTCTTTGCACCGCGCCACCGTTGCAACTCCTTACACCACCCCCGCCCCATTTCCTAACACCACCACCGTTGCAGCTCCTTCACTGCCGTTGCCACTCACTCCACCTTAACACCTTACACCAACACTGTTTCACTATGCCGAGACCATCGACCCGGAGTCTTTACACCCACCAACACCGTCGATAGGTTTTATTTTATAATAGTGAGAATGTAATTGCACGGAACGAGTGTAATTTAATGGCACATGTTGAAAGTTGTTTGGCTGGTTGATTCATGAGGTTTCAGTCTATACATACATACATAGAACATGTTCAGCTAAACTGAGATCTTACAAAATCTGAGAGCTAGCTTAATTGGAGGAAGTGAAGAGAAGAAATGAACAATGTGGTTAGTGTGGGAGTAGGTTCTGTCACAGGAGCTGTGGTCTCTGAGCTTCTGAAAGCCATTATTGAAGAGGCTAAGATGGTGTTGTCGTTTAAATCTGTGTACATGGAGCTCGCATCGACGATGGAGAAAATGCTTCCGATAATCATGGAGATCGAAATGTTGCAACGTGCTGAAGAGCTACAGGATCTCGAGAATATAATCGACGAAGCTCGTGTACTGGTTCAGAAGTGTTCACAAGTCAAGCGGTGGAACCTACCCTCGAAAGTTAAATATACAAGAAAAATAGAGGGTATCAACAAGAAGATGCTCACGTTTTGTCAGATTCAACTTCAGCTTATTATGCTTAGGAACCAACGGCTGATTATGCATCAACTGGGATTCCGCTTTTGCTCTGCGTCGTCTTCCGTGCTGTCTCCCGATCTGTCTGAGATTCTGCCTGTGGATACAACGGTGGCCATACACATTTATCTCGAAAGCATCTATAAGGAGCTCGACGTTTTGAATGTTTCTCCACCTGTTTATAGGGATATTTGTTCGGTCCCCAAGATTCATAAGCTTCTCTTTGGATTGGATTTACCGCTCATGGAGGTAAAGAAGAAGCTCCTTGATGATGATGATGATGATCCCGTAGTTAGTCTCGTGGTCTCTGCTCCTCCCGGGTGCGGGAAGACCACTTTGGTTACTCAGCTTTGTCATGATGACGACATCAAAGGTATTAAAAGTCTTACTTTTAATATTTACTCTTGAATATGCCTCCACAAAAAAAAAAAAAAAAAAAACTCAACGACCGAGATTCAAACCGAATCCTAGAAGAAAGTTTTGAATCTATATTGTAGAAATATCAAAACTGAACATATATATAATATAAGGGACATATCAACCAAAATATCTATATTATTATTTGAGAAATAATTTTGCTTAGTTGTCAAATTCTACATAATTTTAGTTAGTTTTATTAGGGCTGTGCAAATAAACCCAAACCATCCAACCAAAGTTAAACCGACCCAAACCAAACCGTACTCTTTACATAATCCAATTAATTCATGTTTTACTCAACCCGAAAGGTTTGGTTTGGTTTGGGTTTAAACCGAACCAAACCGATAACCCAATTTATATATAGTATATTAACAAATTGTAAATTTTAGTTAAAGTATTGTTTTCCATTTGCGTAAAATAGCAAACTTTGCTAAAGTTATATTAGTTTTATATAATGCTATACTGACTCTATAAATCTATGTAAGAGATGAATATTGGTTTAAACGAAAATCTACTCTATTAAAATAGAGTCATTCTTTTTATCTACTAATACAAGTTTTCATTTAAATTTGGACCAATTCTAGAATGTTACAAATAATATAAGTCATATAATTGATTGGACCGTATTACTTAAATTAAACCAACACAAATAATGTAAAGAGACGACCTTAATGTAAACTACCTTCAAAATATGGCAGATATCTATGTGTATACCAAAAACATATATTTTCTCCTACAAATATGGAATGTTCTAAAAGAATATATATCATCAAAATATGGAATATGAAAATCTACTAATTATATTTAAATTAAACCAGTGGTTATTTATGGAATATAGTCTTGGGCTTACTTTTATTTTTTGAACAAATTATATAGTTTGGTTTTTGGGCTTAGTATTAAGAAAAAAACTCTAAAAACATTGAATAAACTTTTCACCTTAAAATATCAAAAAAATCAATTATTATTTTCAGACCCAAAAGGTATTTAATATTTTTAACAAAACAAAATTATCTATTATTAATCATTTATTTAAATCATGTACTTTAAAACATGTTAATATATTTTTTTATATTTTAAATAACAATCACTTTGTTTTGATAAATTTCAATGGTAACTTTTAAATAATTTATTGTTTTATTTTTCTTAAATAATTTACTGATTAAAAAAATATAAAGCAAAACAAAAAACCAAATCTAAAAACTAAAATCCAAAACCAAAAGCTGAAAACACATGTTATATTTTTGCTTTGTTTATTTACAAAATAAACTATTTCAATTTTTTTTTTTAAATTTGTTGTCATCTTTTCAGTTTTGAATTAGATGTTCGATTATTTGAGATTTGTTTGTTCGATGTTCAATGGTAAATTTTAAATTTGTTGTCATCTTTTCAGTTTTGATAAATTTCAATGGTAAATTTTAGTTTAAGCACGGGTCAAAATCTAGACTAATATTACCAAATTTATAAACCAAATTTATAAATCTTAATTTTGGAAATCTACTAATATAACCAAATCTAAAAACCAAAATCCAAAATCTAAAAATAAAAACTGAAACTAAAAACTGATGAAAAACAATCACCATCACAAATTTTGGTGAACGGATTTTATATCAAAATATTATTTAAATTATGACAAAAGCCAATTATATAAAGTTTTAGTCATAAAAAATTTCCGCGCTTTTAAGCGTGGGTCAAAATCTAGTTATCTTTAAGTTATTATCTTTGTTGTAGATTATTCTTGGTGGCATGAGAGAGACAGATTAGATTTTTCTTCTTTCTCTTTATATTTAAATTGTAGCTTTATAATTTAGTGAAGATCTATTTCAGTTGGACCATATTTGGTATTTTTAGTTTTTAGATACATTATTTTTGACTTTTAGTAATCAATTTTTTTAGCTAGTAAATTTTATATTCTTAAATCTTTTATCAGTTGATTAGTTTTTTTATAAAACTGATACCGTCATATTTTATAACCAACTGAACTATACTAACCAAATCATAATAATGTAAACCGAACTAAATCTAAACCAAACTAAATCATACTAAACCCAAACCAAACCCAAACCAAAGCTACTTTAGTTTTAATTGGATTGAGTTTTATAAAATTCAAATTACCCAAATTCAAACCGAATCCAAAACTAAACCGATTTGCCCACCCCTAAATTTTACTTTTTTGTTATTTTTAATAATTTCTCAATGTTGTTTCCTTTAATTTGCAGAAAAGTTCGAGTATATCTTTTTTTGCGATGTGTCAAGCGCTCCTACCTTTAGGACCATAGTACAGAATTTACTACAGCACAACGGTTACGAAGCACCAACATATGAGAACGATTCTCAAGCAGTTGATGGCTTAAGAAAGCTGCTTGAGGAACTTAAAGAAGAGGGTCCTATATTGTTGGTGCTGGATGATGTTCCCCAAGGAGCAGAGTCCTTTCTTCAGAAATTTCAGATGAACATATTGAATTTCAAGATTTTGGTGACTTCTCGGTATGAGTTTCCGAGTTTTGGTTCCACTTATCATTTGAAACCTTTGGGAGATGAAGATGCTAGGTCCCTTCTCATTGAGCGGGCAACTCTCGGTCACTACAAGACTTTAGATTCATTTGAAGATCCTCTACAAAAGGTATAATAAAGACAATTCTCTTATTCTAAATTCTACCTCCAATTTTTAACAATTCATCTTTAGTAATTTTCACTTGATGGGGGTTGCAGACTTTGAAACGTTGCTATGGAATTCCACTCTTGATTGAAGTAATCGGCGTTCAGCTAATAAGCAAATTTGTAAATTGGGCCAGACACGAAGTGGAAAGCTGGTCTGAAGAGGAAACAGTTCTTGATAGTCCTCAACCTACTGTTCTCGAATGTCTCCAGCCTATCTTGAATGTCTTGGAACCCCATCTTAAAGACTGTTTCTTGGACATTGGCTCATTTCTTACACAAGGAAAGATACGTGTTTCCATTATAGTCGACATATGGATGGAATTATACGGTGAAGGTAGTAGTATCGACCACGTGGAGTGTCTCAATGACCTGGCTATCCATAATCTTCTTAAACTTGATACTCTTTGGTATGTTTTGTTTCTGTGGCAGCACTGTTTTTTTGGACCTTCTTATCATCTACCATTTGATGAACTTGTTTATTTACTTGCCAGGACAAATGAGCACGAAAACATATTTTTTGATTGTCATCACGGACCGTTAGTAGCTGACAACCCGCTTAAACGTATTCCTCTCGCGTATGATTACAAAGACAGTTTCTACAATAATTTCGTAGTCACTCAGCATAGTATTCTGAGGGAGTTGGCTATCTGCCAAAGCAAATCTGAGAAACACCATGAAAGAAAAAGGCTCAACCTGGAGATAAGAGAGGATACATTTCCAGATTGGTGTTTGGATTTAGGGCAGCCTATAAGTGCTTGCCTTTTGTCTATCTCTACGGGTAATTTTTTCATGTCTTTTTTTCTTTCTGAAAATTGAATGCAGAGATTTTGATCAACTCTTATATGATGATAACTGAATCTGAGTAAATCCTTAGAGCATGTTTAATGCTGTCCCTTAGTATTGATCTCTTAGTGATGTAGCGGATAGATAGGTTGAACGGTCGATCTAAGAACTTAGGGTTCTTTGAGACCTGTTCTTGGATCGATCAAGAATTACTTTCGTTAGCTTCTTGAGACCAACTTCTTGAAGAAGATGAATTTAATCGAATCTTGTTCAAGGCAACTTAAAATAGATGAATTGAATCAAATCTATATCAAGGTATAAAGCAAAGCTTCTTATTAATTATCAATCAACTGAATACAACTCTAGGCATAAGAAGCCTATATATATGAAAACCATAAAACCCTAAAACAATAAAGATAATTATCTAAAATAACTAATAAAATAAATAATAAATATTTGGAAATATCCCAAATATTTATCTACATCATTCTCTCCGGGTTGGAGAAGATTCGTCCTCGAATCTTGATCGTAATCTTTGGANATCAATCAACTGAATACAACTCTAGGCATAAGAAGCCTATATATATGAAAACCATAAAACCCTAAAACAATAAAGATAATTATCTAAAATAACTAATAAAATAAATAATAAATATTTGGAAATATCCCAAATATTTATCTACATCATTCTCTCCGGGTTGGAGAAGATTCGTCCTCGAATCTTGATCGTAATCTTTGGATCCAAAACGTTTTCCAAGAAAAACTCTTCCTCGAATCTTCAATATTGTTCTTGGCATAAGAATATCAGAAATCTGCACGAATTTCGCACATCTCAGAATTTCCAGAAATTTTCCAAAAACTTGATACTGCACGATTTTTGCACGGATCTGACTATATCTTGAATCTTCAAAAATTCGTTTTTGCACAAAGTTTTCACGCATCAAATCTTCATCAATATGATTTCGCCCTAACTTTGCACGCGAATTTTCAAAGGATCCCTCTTTGAAAACAAAGTCAATAGGATGGACATCGTCTTCATATATATCATAGATTGGATCACCATAGATCTCTCGATAGATCTCATGGTTCTCTTCTCTTTCAACAAAAGGACTTTCGTCCAGGAAAAGATAGATGCTAATACTCACCATGACATCCAGAATCGCCTTCGATTGAGAAACCAAAGGAACCTGGCTCTGATACCAACTGATGTAGCGGATAGATAGGTTGAACGGTCGATCTAAGAACTTAGGGTTCTTTGAGACCTGTTCTTGGATCGATCAAGAGTTACTTTCGTTAGCTTCTTGAGACCAATTTCCTGAAGAAGATGAATTTAATCGAATCTTGTTCAAGGCAACTTAAAATAGATGAATTGAATCAAATCTATATCAAGGTATAAAGCAAAGCTTCTTATTAATTATCAATCAACTGAATACAACTCTAGGCATAAGAAGCCTATATATATGAAAACCATAAAACCCTAAAACAATAAAGATAATTATCTAAAATAACTAATAAAATAAATAATAAATATTTGGAAATATCCCAAATATTTATCTACATCACTTAGCAAAAGAATTAATAAAGAATTGGTGGGGTCCAACGTTTTATCAAGGAACGAGTGTTACGGAGCTACACTAAGGGACGTTTGTTGTAAGTTGCATGCACTGTTTGTGGACCCCATTGACAAGTGGCGGCCCACAATTGATTTTTTTTTTTTCTTTTTCAAATTTAAACAAAAAATAATAATAATAAAAATTTCCTATGTTCCCGTGTATGCGTTAAACATGCTCTTATTTTCTTGGGTGTTCTTTTACTAAACTTGTGGAATAAGTAAGATGACCCAGTAAATTTTAAATTAATATATTTAAAGTTGTGTGATTTATCATAAATTAGTATTTAATAAATTAATAAACATAATTAACTAATATTTTTTTCCCAAGTTTATCCACTTTATTTTCGAAATAATATTTTTTTACAGATCATTAATATCATAATTAACTATATTATTTTTAAACTATTGAAATATTTAGATGTGACTTGTGTATTGTATTTCAAAATGCATCTACACACTATGTTTCATATATAGTACATAAGAACTTATATAAGTAACAAGAAATACATGTAATCCAAATTTTAAAGTTCAATATACAAAATTAGAAAACATATATTTTTATTTTAAATATGATAATTAAAAATATACATGTGGATTTAAAAATGAAATCCATTTTAATATTTTTTTCTCAAAAAATATTCTTAAGTTAGTAACTTTATAAATAATAAAGTACTATGTTCAGAAGATTATTAATTTAGAGTTTCACTGTTTCTGTGCTTACTTGAATAGGGTTTGTTAGTATTTCTTTTTATATACTGCCAGAGTGAAAGCCACTCAAGCGACCGCTTAGAAAATTCAATTTTAGAGAGCATATATTTTTTAAGGTTTCATATATAAATATTTTTGTTAATATTTATACGTAAATATAATTTATAATTCTTTTGACAATAATAATATTTGTAAGATTTTGTACCTTTACTTATAAAATCTTTACTAATAGATATATTAAACAAGTGTATTATCAAATAATAATTTTTAAAGTGTTTTTTGTATCAAATATATTTTATTACAATTATGATTGATTAGGGTGAGATGATTATTATGATAATGGTGCTCCGTTTTCCTTTGTTCCAGATGATTTGTTCTCATCGACTTGGGTTGAAATGGATTGCCCCAGTGTTGAGGCTTTAGTTCTCAATGTCTCTTCATCAAGCTATGCGTTACCAAACTTCATCGCTACAATGAAAAAACTGAAGGTTGTGGTTATCATAAACCACGGTCTTGGTCCTGCAAAATTGACCAACTTATCGTGCCTCAGCTCTTTAACCAACCTAAAACGGATCAGATTTGAGAAAATTTCAATCAATTTGCTGGACATTCTCCTATCACGACTCGGTAGTCTCAAGAAGCTATCTCTGTTCATGTGCAGTTTAAGTGAGGTTTCCTACAACATAGAAGAGAAAGCTATCCCTGAAGTTCTACCAAGTTTACAGGAGATTGACATAAATTATTGCTACGATCTTTATGAGTTGCCGGATTGTGTCTCTGAAGTTGTTTCATTGAAGAAACTTAGCATCACAAACTGTGGCAAGCTCTCTTTACTTCCAAAGGATATAGGTAACTTGAGTAATCTTGAAGTATTGAGGTTGAGTTCTTGTATTAATCTCTGTGAGCTGCCTGAAACGACTGATAGGCTCTGCGATTTACGGTTTCTGGATATGTCTGATTGCTTAGCACTGAAAAAATTGCCTTCAGAGATTGGGAAGTTGCAGAAGCTGGAAAAAATCTCGATGAGGATGTGTTTGGGATGCGAATTACCAAATTCAGTGAGGAATTTAGAGAACTTGGAGGTAGAATGTGATGAAAAGACTGGACTGTTGTGGGAAAGGATGAAGCCAGAAATGAGGAATTTGAAAATCTTTAGGGGAATATAGCAGAGCATTAATATGCTAGCTTGTTCAAAGGCTAAGGAAAGGAGAGAAAGAGTGAGAAGTTGAACCAGTGACAGAATCAATGAGTATACTATATAGTTTATATATAAATAAGTGCGTATGTAAAAGTGCAGGGGTATGTTTGTTATAACTATGACTTGTTGGTTAAGTTTTTGTTACGTTCAGTTATGTAAGCTGTTTTTTGATGTTTGTGATCATGTGATGTCTTGGTAAAATAATTATCGTTATAAATACTTTTAATTATTCATTAAAGATATTAGTGACAAATCAGTTTTTAACGATCAATTTTATTTTTAATTATAGCTAAATCTGTAAAATAATTTTTATAGAACAGAAAACAAAAATTATATGCTACTTTTTTATAAATTTAATAATTAATTTTATATTAAAATATAACTATTATATCAAAATAAGTATGGGAAATTATATGAAATTGGTAAGTTAAACTATTTTATTTTCAAAAATATATTTTCTTATTTATATTTATAAATAAAATATCAGTCCACTTTTAAGACGGGTTAAAATTCGTAAAATATTATAGAATAAATTTTTTTTTTTTTTTTTTTTTGTTTTGAACTGTAAAATTTTTAACATATGTTAAACTTTTATATGTACAACTATATCTTATCCCTTTTTATTTGTTTTTGGAACTTACAATTATATATTATACAAAAAATATTATATAAAAAATTAACAATTTCTTAAAATATAATCCTATGTTTAAAAAACGTAGATCAGATTGTAGTTAATGATTATCTTACAGTTTGAATTTTTAATGATTATATTATCTTTGTTGGCCTGTCACATATGCAATATTTTTCTCTTTCTCATTTTATTAACATCACGATTTTCAGATGAATACATTAATCCTGGAAGTTGAATCTGCTTTTGCATTATACATAACATGATCCCTACTCGAACTGCCCAAGCTATTATTTACAGCAAATCCTTTGTCATTTTATTCAAAACAGAGAGAACCGTATGGTTATCTGGATTTAGTAAAACAATGCACACTCCCGTACTTGTTCTTCCCATCCATTCATGGCAGTTTAACATCTACACGACACACTAACTTTACATTCGAATTATAGAGTCACTATAGAAGCGGCGCGATTGTGGCTGTCGGTGACGTTAAGTGAAATAGAAGCGGTTTAACTCTTTCTTTGATGAACTCTACTGGTTTATAGCGTGTGTATGTATATATATGAAGTTTCGCTCAAAAAATGTGTAAATCGGTTGTACACAGAAATAGTCTCCATTGGCTTTTATATGACCTATCTTTTGCCTTATCATCTTACTTCACTTCTTCAAGAAACCAAAAAAAACTCCCTTATGACGACCGGGATCGATCGTTGGATGTAGCTATGACGATTCTATAGATCTTTCGATACCTTCATGCATACTCATATGTGGTAACATATATAACATTGAACAAAATTTTAAAATATTATAGTAAGTAGCTCGTAGAAATAGAAAGTTAAATATATACTCCGTCATTTGTACGATTAAACTCTTGGTGTCCGTTGGTATAGATGTCGAGGTAGAAGTCGTCACGCGTTTTTGAATCACCAAAACATGTAACATGATTAGAAATGGTTGAATTACGTATACCACGCAGAGCCGTACCACACAGTATAGAAAAAAAACCTCGCTTAGGGCAACATTTTTTTGTAAAGATTAAAGGCATCATCTAATATTATAAAATGCATAATTAAGTATAAGAACTTTAGTTATACAGTAAAAAAACTATTATAAATTAAGATTAAAAACATGGGTTTATAATGAAACACATGGATTTCCTAAATAACAAACAATGTAGGCAATTGTTAATTGTTAAAGAAATACAGTAATTAGATTTTGGCGATTATAGTTTGAAATGCATTTTGATATATTAGAAAAACTGAATACTTTTTTATCTTTGTTTGATTATGACAGAAAATATTGAGTAGTTTAAATTTTTTTTATTCAAAAACAAATAAATGAGTAATTTAATTATCTGAACTTAAAATTTAGTTATAAAATTGAACGATAAATACTTGGTTAATAATTTTTGAAAAAAAAAACTTGTTGTATAATTAATATTCTTGTTAGTTTAATTCTTTATATATGTTTCTCTTTTATTGTACTTATTATTTGGATTGAAGAAATTTTTATAATTCGCTTCTGGCAACCGTAAAATTTCGCACTACTCTGATACCACGGACCATCATATATATGCTCATTATTCTTATGAGATTTTTCCCAAAAAAAGGGTTACATAAAAAACCATGCACAAACTTCTACACCACAAACAGTTCGATGAAATCCAAGCTGCAGCGATTTGTTCAACGGCTTAATGAAGCGGCGGGGGCTTGAAGGTTGCATCATATGCTGAAAATAAAGAGCAATCTCAATTGAAATGAAGAAGAAAGTGAAAGTTGAGCTTTCACAACTCTGATACCATAACACATAACACAATGAAGTAAAGAGAGTTTTGAAATTACATCAAGACAAGATAGTCAAAAGCCTGTATAAGAGATTCACATATGCTTATAAACAACCTCATAAAAATTTTATCCAACCAACTATATAACCGAAAGTACACCAAGTATGAATATAACCAATCACTACAAGAAAACATCAATTTTGTAACTACAAGAATAGTTGTAAGGTAGTTGCAAATATTGATTTTATGACTATTTTGCAACTACTACCTTCAGTTAGAAATAGCTCGTCGCAAATAGTGTTGGTCGCAAATTTGTCCCAAAAGAGCAACTAAAGTAAAACTATATAGTTAGTGGTATATTAGCAACTCATTTGTGACNCACTACAAGAAAACATCAATTTTGTAACTACAAGAATAGTTGTAAGGTAGTTGCAAATATTGATTTTATGACTATTTTGCAACTACTACCTTCAGTTAGAAATAGCTCGTCGCAAATAGTGTTGGTCGCAAATTTGTCCCAAAAGAGCAACTAAAGTAAAACTATATAGTTAGTGGTATATTAGCAACTCATTTGTGACTAAAATCGCAGTTGAAACATAATTTTGAGACCGCTGTTTTAGTCTCGTATAAGTTAGGGAAGAGTAGTAGCTAGTTAGTCTCTTACCACTTGCGACTAATTTAAAACATTTATAATTTAGTGGCTGATTTTAGTAACGAATTTGTGACTACAATATTTATTCTTGGTTACAAATTAGTTGCTGTGTTTAGTGACCATTTACCAACCACATTATTGGTATGCTTACAAATTAGTTGCATAATTAATCACCAATAAACAATTAATTTGAATTTCTTATTTTTTTAAAAATATTAATTCAGAAATAAAATTTTATTTAAATACTAGTTTTGGAATGCAAATTTATATATTAACTTCAAACTGTATTTAAAGTCTAAAGTTATAATTACAACAATTGAAATATTTTAAATTACTAGAAATGCAGAAGAAGTCGACATTCAAACTTGAAAACCTTTTGTTTCAGTTTCGAACCACCACGATCAAACCTACACAATGAACAAAAACAAGCAGTTATAAGTAAGGCAAGAATGTATAAAAGCAAAGAAATGAAAATTTGAACAACACAATCAAAGCTCAAGATGTCATTACTATAACAAGAAAACCATAAGTGAGAGAAAGACTTAGCATGTCAAATTCAAGCACTGAATGCGAATTGTAAGGCCTGGGCAAAAGAAAAGAGAAGAAATTCAACCAAAACAAATGTGCCAAATAAGCAAGTAGTAATCCCAAGAAGTTGCGTACTTTACTATGAACAAATGTGCCAAAACAAATGTGCCAAATAAGCCAGAACATATTTTATGAAAGCAAACAAACCATAATAGAAAGACTAAACGTGACAAATTCAATATTGAAACAAGTCGTAAGGCAAAAACAAATATAGATTTTCAAGCAGACAAATAAACAAACACACAATAAAAACTTAACCCACAATGAAGTAGATTATCATGACTACGCAATCATAAGTGGTGGAAATCAGCCAAACTATTGAGGTATCTTTTAAAACACAACTAAAACTCAGCAAAAGGAAGAATTTAAGACAAAAACGTGGCTCACTTTTGTAATGGTAAAATATAAACTGGATACGTGTGTTTGCAGGCTTTCTTCTTTGGAATTAGACTAGGCATCATTGGGTGGGCAAGGAAAGACCGAATAATCAAATGGATCTCAGTCGAGGAGGTAATAAAGTACTCCGTAAATCTGTTTCAATATCGTATATGCAAACCACTTGAGAGCAATCAATTGATGAAAAAGACACTAAAATTTTAGAAACACCGAAGCAAAAAAGAGAGTACAAAGCTTTAACCTTTATGAATATAACCAACAATTTGTTCCTCTATGACAAACAGTATGAATTCAGCTAACTTCTCCTGAAAAGTATGGCACCAGACTAACTAATTGACACTTACAAGCTCAAATAACATCAGACTCCACTGACTGAAGGAATAACATTACATCTGTCTTAAAAAAAAAAGAAAAAAAAAACATTACCTCTGTCTAAATCCACATATCAAAGAGACCACACGATTTTATTAACTCATCTCGATTTAGAAGAACCCAAATCAACAATATGACAGAGAAAGGGAGAGAACTCATTACCACGAAACGGCGGAGGAAGAGGGAAATGTGGCAGAGGATGAGAAGGGTCATGGGCAGGAGGAGTCTTTGAGAGAGAATTCTGAGTGTGCCGGACTCTAGCAACCTGGAGTGTGAAGACAATCAAATTTCAGTGAAGAGAGAATTCTGGGATTGGAGTGTGAAGAAAAGAAAACAATTGATGAAGAGAAAGGAAAGAGGATTTAGGTCTATTCCCTAGAAAATGAGCGGTACATTAAAATAATTTGGACAATTTTCAGTGGGAAAAACTTTAGAGCCAAATTATGCGACCAAAGTGTAACTATCTTCAGGCCAATAGTTGCAAAATAGTGACATATTCTAAAAGAATAGTAAAATAAAATTTACCACTTATTTGTAACCCATCATGTT